TGATTATACTTGATTAATTCCTATTTGGATTAATAAAAATCTTCTACACACTCTGCTCTAGTTTGATCTTCATCTCTCATCATGACTATTTTAACATATTTTCATTCATGTCTGTTGAACCCCATGATCTACAGATGTTTGGTCTGATCAAGTTTCTCTGTTGTTAAAATCATTGTTTGGTTAAGTCAGTGTTTCTCTGCTTCCCACAGACCACAATGAAACTCCACAGAGCAACTAAACCACTGACATCAGCTGCATCAGTCACTAAATAACCACATTAAATGTTTTTAGCAAGATATGAGCTCAGCACAATAATCTGAATGATTCACATCAACAAAACATGTATGTTGTGCGAATATAGATCAATTGAGAGCAGATGAGAAAGAAAAACTGCAAATTTAAAGACATTTTAACCGTAAACAGGCTGCAGTGTAAAGTGCTTCTGTTAAAATCATGGTACTTAATGTATTTTATCAGGGGTTTATAACCTGTTTAATGGTGTACACAGTACATCTCTTCTAAAGACCCTGCTGGAGCGTTAACTAGTTGGAAAAACAAGAAAAACAAGGCCTTAAAAATTTTTTCTTTTTAATAATCTGTACATTAGTTATTAAATATCTTCTAAAATCTCTAAAATCTATATTTTCCTAAATAAGTTATGTGTAATATTTATCTTTAAGATTTTTCATACGGATGATGATTGAAAACCTTTTTGTTCCCAAAGATGGATTCATGAAATGGTCTCCTTCCATTAACATTTTGCTATAATTATACTAGAACAGGGGTGCCCACCCTGTTCCTGGAGATCTACCTTCCTGCAGAGTTCAGCTCCAACCCTGATCAAACACAGCTTAACCAGCTAATTAAGATCTGAAGGAGCACTTGATAATTACAGACAGGTGTGTTTGATCAGGGTTGGAACTGAACTCTGCAGGAAGGTAGATCTCCAGGAACATGGTTGGGCACCCCTGTACTAGAACATTCATAACACTTTATTGTTAAGAATTTACAGTACATGTATTCTGTAGGTCACTGTGTATTTTGAGTTCTCTCTTCTCTTCTGGTTAGCATGGTCTGTTAGTCTCTGCTGGTTAGAACTACACAGTCTACACAGTAACTACACAGACATCTTCCATTGAAGGCCGTTCAAAACAAATTTGTGTATTCTGATTAAATAAAGCCATATGCAAACAACATATACATTTATAGTATTTAACTATAAAATTTTACCAGTGAATCATTCTTTCTTGGATGCTTTCAGGATGATGTTGTTCAGCAACATGTGACTCTCATAATGCAGATGACTAGAGGTCTACACGGAGGACCCGAGACCCGACCCGGGATCCGTACGGGTTCGGGGCTATATTTTAAATGGTCAGCCGGGTCCCAATCTATTAATTCGGGTCCCGGGTCTGTTTAACATTGTGTGTAATACCCGAATCGATCGGACTCAGAGAACACCCGGCCGTTATCAGAGTCAGTCAGCGCTGTGCGTGTGTTGTTTTGTAACTTTCAACTTGTAAAATTAGGATGAGAAAAGTGTGAGTCGGTAATTTGAAATAAGAATTTAATAATAATAATAAAATAAAAAAAACACGAGTGACGTCATCAGAAGCAGGGTGGGCGGAGTTAATGCACACGCACGGTGATGATAGCAAATAAGTAAAGCTAACGTCAGCAGCCATGGCACTGGACGAGCAATCGTTATTATAATCCAAATGGACATACAGTCTAAATTATTATGCAAGTTGACTTGAGGTACAAAAAATGCAAAACTGCAAAGTCGCATTTGTCATCCGTCACCGTGACAGCAAGTGGACTTTTGAAACTGTAATAATGAGTGGATTACGCATTTCAATTGGCAAGAGAGGAATATGGAGCCAGAATGATCTCAATAATAATTAACGCAAAAGACGCGATGCACACATGCGTAACCCAATTCACATGCATGAGAAATAATTCACGTGCACGAAAAAAAATATATATATATATATATATTCAAAATTGACAGTCATGTTGATATGTGTCTCTTTTTTGTTTATTTATTTGCATAATATATATTTTTCGATGAAAATAGTTGTGCTGCTTATTGAAATCTGGTAGCCTACGTGTTGTTTTTCATCGATTGTTTGATGAGCAGAAAGATTAAAATAGAAAAATGAAATAGAAAATAGAAATGTGATTATTTGAAATTACTTCAAATAGAAACGGTTTTTTAAAATTATTATTCTACATTTTTATTGCACATTTACAATGTAAAACGGATTATATACGTTTCTATTTTCTTCTACTGCCATCGTGTGCTGAAAAAGATGAAGTGCATTTAAAAAGTCTTTTCGTGGCAGCACTTGAGATTCGCAATAAAAGCCTGTCTAGATTGTACTTTTAAACTGTAAAATAATAATAAAAAAAATGTCATATATCAATCGACCACAAAACATTATTATTATTATTATTTAGTGCTGTTTCATTCAGTGAAACTGTTTGTGGTCATATTCAGTTTACTCTGTAGATCTGATTTTGTACATCAATCATAGAACATACAGTATGCAGCAACACATTTCACACACAATTTGTCTTTTTATTATATTTAGTACATACAAATGTATATTTAGGCACATTGATTATGTGTTGAATTTAAAACAGCTGTTAGGAAGCAAAAGCTGTATCAGTGTTTGTCCACTAGACCAGAGGACAGAAATGATCCAACATTAAGATCAGCGATATATCAATATATAACATGCACATTATTCATCAAGCAGATGCTGTTGTTAAATTTAATAAAACAACACAAAGCACAATGCATGTGGTATCATATCACTACTAGAACTGAACAAAGCCGTTTTTTTTGTGTTTCTGCTACCAGTGCAACGAGGCTAATTTAAGTGCTTCAGCTTGAATACAGAGCTTTGGAAACAGACTGTAATCAATATTGAACATCAACATTAATCTGGTACTGGTGTTAATTATATAAAAACAGCGAATACAGTGGTTAGAGAAACACTGCTGTGGTAAAACGTCTTATTAAAAGCACAGATCACTCACATAAAATCAAAACTAGTATTACATTAATAAAGTAACAGGTATGAAGTGTAACATTATTAAAATGACAAAGAAGCTTTTTACATGTGAGTTTAACATTTCTCACTTTCACTGGACAGATTCTAGAGGCTCATAAAAACAGAAATTTTTTTTTCTCCCTTTGATCAAATATTTTGTTTAATAAAAAAAAACAAACAGATGAAAATGATCAAAGAAAAGAAGATACAAGTAAGAATAACTGTATACATGCGATTAGGAAAATTTAAACAATAAAAGGATAGGTAGCTTACAATAAAGGGAAAAATATAATAATCCAAAAATAAAATAAAAGAGCAATGCAAGAGAGCTGTCTGAACTTAATCAGTCAAAAGAGATGAATTTTTCATATAGTTTCAAAAACCTGACACATTTTGTATTGCCAGTCAAACAAAAAGATGAGCAGTGTGTCAACCTCAATCTGAAAATGTGCTGTAAAATAATAAAAACAAAATGTAATAAATATAATTTAAAACGTCATATTTCAATTGACACACAAAAATTATTATTATTATTATTATTATTATGCTGCACTGTTTCATTCAGTGACTAATTAAACAAAATCTGATTTTATAGCTTCCTGGGTGTTTGTGATTTCAACTAACACACCTACAAAATAATTTGATTTTATGTGCTTTTTCCCCCTCAACTATATCTGGTCATATTCAGTTTACTCTGTAGATCTGATTTTGTACATCAATCATAGAACATACAGTATGCAGCAACACATTTCACACACAATTTGTCTTTTTATTATATTTAGTACATACAAATGTATATTTAGGCACATTGTTTATGTGTTGCATTTAAAACAGCTGTTAGGAAGCAAAAGCTGCATCAGTGTTTGTCCACTAGACTAGAGGACAGAAATGATCCAACATTAAGATCAGCGATATATCAATATATAACATGCACATTATTCATCAAGCAGATGCTGTTGTTAAATTTAATAAAACAACACAAAGCACAATGCATGTGGTATCATATCACTACTAGAACTGAACAAAGCCGTTTTTTTTGTGTTTCTGCTACCAGTGCAACGAGGCTAATTTAAGTGCTTCAGCTTGAATACAGAGCTTTGGAAACAGACTGTAATCAGTATTGAACATCAACATTAATCTGGTACTGGTGTTAATTTTATAAAAACAGCGAATACAGTGGTTAGAGAAGCACTGCTGTGGCAAAACGTCTTATTAAAAGCACAGATCACACTTTCTAATACTCACACAAAATCAAAACTAGTATTACATTAATAAAGTAACAGGTATGAAGTGTAACATTATTAAAATGACAAAGAAGCTTTTTACATGTGAGTTTAACATTTCTCACTTTCACTGGACAGATTCTAGAGGCTCATAAAAACAGAAATTTTTTTTTCTCCCTTTGATCAAATATTTTGTTTAATAAAAAAAAACAAACAGATGAAAATGATCAAAGAAAAGAAGATACAAGTAAGAATAACTGTATACATGCGATTAGGAAAATTTAAACAATAAAAGGATAGGTAGCTTACAATAAAGGGAAAAATATAATAATCCAAAAATAAAATAAAAGAGCAATGCAAGAGAGCTGTCTGAACTTAATCAGTCAAAAGAGATGAATTTTTCATATAGTTTCAAAAACCTGACACATTTTGTATTGCCAGTCAAACAAAAAGATGAGCAGTGTGTCAACCTCAATCAGAAAATGTGAAAGAGTAGGAATTGAGCCTATAATTTTTGTTTATGGATTAAAAAAATTGCCAAACAAAATAAAAAAGATGAAAATATATTTTTTAGTTTTGGTAGAGTCGAGTAATAACAAGATAGCATCTTTCAAATTAAAAATGTTTTGTTGTAGCTGGAGCTGAATGTTGATGATGTCAGAGTGATTGATACTGGTGGGCGGGTCTTATGTTGTTAAAGTGAACTCGTCCCCTCCTCCTCATTCACTACATTCACATACTCTCCATTCAACAGTGGCATCTCTACAGTCGCTGATTCATTCACTCGCTTTCCTGTGTAATCTGAAGGAAAATACAGAGACAATGATGAATTAAAAACAGATAATGTACTGATTTGAATTTTTTCATATGAGACATCAAAACTAAAGTGAAGCATTTACAATGTACAAAATCATTTAACAGATTGTCAGCAGCACATCTGGTTCATTTGAGGAGTTCAATCTAGTTTAAGTACTTTAGTGTTTGTCCACTAGACCAGAGGACAGAAATGATCCAACATTAAGATCAGCGATATATCAATATATAACATGCACATTATTCATCAAGCAGATGCTGTTGTTAAATTTAATAAAACAACACAAAGCACAATGCATGTGGTATCATATCACTACTAGAACTGAACAAAGCCGTTTTTTTTGTGTTTCTGCTACCAGTGCAACGAGGCTAATTTAAGTGCTTCAGCTTGAATACAGAGCTTTGGAAACAGACTGTAATCAGTATTGAACATCAACATTAATCTGGTACTGGTGTTAATTTTATAAAAACAGCGAATACAGTGGTTAGAGAAGCACTGCTGTGGCAAAACGTCTTATTAAAAGCACAGATCACACTTTCTAATACTCACACAAAATCAAAACTAGTATTACATTAATAAAGTAACAGGTATGAAGTGTAACATTATTAAAATGACAAAGAAGCTTTTTACATGTGAGTTTAACATTTCTCACTTTCACTGGACAGATTCTAGAGGCTCATAAAAACAGAAATTTTTTTTTCTCCCTTTGATCAAATATTTTGTTTAATAAAAAAAAACAAACAGATGAAAATGATCAAAGAAAAGAAGATACAAGTAAGAATAACTGTATACATGCGATTAGGAAAATTTAAACAATAATTTGTTAACTCAGTCATGCATCTACTAGAATATGCAAACTGAAATGTAAAGTTTACTTGGATCTTTTAGGCTTCTACATCTCGGATGTTTGTAGCATTAAAAGATTCACTAGAAGGCCATTTCTCTCAGGACAATCGCTCTTTAATTTACTTAAAATCATTTGTTTGAAATTTGAATGAATAAACTGCATGAAGCCAAATCACACACATAAGATCATGATATTGTTGTAAAGTTCAAGATATTCAGCACAAACAACAGAATCTCACCATTCTTTTCCTTCATAAAAAATAGGGCACTATTTGAGGGGACAGCCATTTTAAGTGGTGTCCGAAACCATAGTGGGCAATCTCAAGTGCACTCATTCAATCCCACAATGCACCACAAAAATTAGTGTGCAACCGATGTACACTCAACGGCTAGAGATAACCCATAATGCACTGTGAGAGTCACGCGTCTGTCTCACCAGAAGATGGCGCCCACAGCTGAATCATCCATCCATTCATTTTACAAACACACTCGTCCACGGCGTAATACAACGTAATACAACACAAGTACAAATTCATTGTAAATTGACTATTAAATTGTTTAACTAGGGTTTATACATAATTTCCGTGACAAGAGTTCAAGATACTTTAATCTTCATGCGATTAGGAAAATTTAAACAATAAAAGGATAGGTAGCTTACAATAAAGGGAAAAATATAATAATCCAAAAATAAAATAAAAGAGCAATGCAAGAGAGCTGTCTGAACTTAATCAGTCAAAAGAGATGAATTTTTCATATAGTTTCAAAAACCTGACACATTTTGTATTGCCAGTCAAACAAAAAGATGAGCAGTGTGTCAACCTCAATCAGAAAATGTGAAAGAGTAGGAATTGAGCCTATAATTTTTGTTTATGGATTAAAAAAATTGCCAAACAAAATAAAAAAGATGAAAATATATTTTTTAGTTTTGGTAGAGTCAGAGTAATAACAGATAGCATCTTTCAAATTAAAAATGTTTTGTTGTAGCTGGAGCTGAATGTTGATGATGTCAGAGTGATTGATACTGGTGGGCGGGTCTTATGTTGTTAAAGTGAACTCGTCCCCTCCTCCTCATTCACTACATCCACATACTCTCCATTCAACAGTGGCTTCATTGAATCAGCGACTGTATTCACATTCACTCGCTTTCCTGTGCAATCTGAAGGAAAATACAGAGACAATGATTAATTAAAAACAGATAATGTACTGATCTGAATTTTTTCATATGAGACATCAAAACTAAAGTGAAGCATTTACAATGTACAAAATCATTTAACAGATTGTCAGCAGCACATCTGGTTCATTTGAGGAGTTCAATCTAGTTTAAGCACTTTTCTGACAAATAAACATTATATTTGTTAACTCAGTCATGCATCTACTAGAATATGCAAACTGAAATGTAAAGTTTACTTGGATCTTTTAGGCTTCTACATCTCGGATGTTTGTAGCATTAAAAGATTCACTAGAAGGCCATTTCTCTCAGGACAATCGCTCTTTAATTTACTTAAAATCATTTGTTTGAAATTTGAATGAATAAACTGCATGAAGCCAAATCACACACATAAGATCATGATATTGTTGTAAAGTTCAAGATATTCAGCACAAACAACAGAATCTCACCATTCTTTTCCTTCATAAAAAATAGGGCACTATTTGAGGGGACAGCCATTTTAAGTGGTGTCCGAAACCATAGTGGGCATTCTCAAGTGCACTCATTCAATCCCACAATGCACCACAAAAATTAGTGTGCAACCGATGTACACTCAACGGCTAGAGATAACCCATAATGCACTGTGAGAGTCACGCGTCTGTCTCACCAGAAGATGGCGCCCACAGCTGAATCATCCATCCATTCATTTTACAAACACACTCGTCCACGGCGTAATACAACGTAATACAACACAAGTACAAATTCATTGTAAATTGACTATTAAATTGTTTAACTAGGGTTTATACATAATTTCCGTGACAAGAGTTCAAGATAATTCCTTTAATCTTACTACTGGACCTGCCCATTTCAAATGATTATTAGGCCTACAGCAAGCAAACTATGCAAAAGCGGCAGTCCTTCCGGTGCACTCAGTGTCCGAATTCACTCACTCGTTTTCATTCACTCCTTCAAGTGAACTGAATGAGTGGACTAATGTAGGGAATAGTGAATGAGGGTATAGGAGGCGATTTCGGATACAGCCTGAGAAGCACTGATATAAACTATATAAGCACTCAAATAAATACAAAATAGAAAAGTGCCTAGAAAACTGTCTGACTAAAATTGAAGTTGCTACATCATGAAGTTTGTATATTCAACATACAATAATGGCTCCTTTATTTCTTTAAATTTTAAAGGTATATTAATTGGTCAATCGAGGAAGTCTGATGGTTGACAGTTTCTAACACCAATAAAACCATGAGAGAAGAGAATTCCAAGAACAAGAGCACATAGAGATTCACGAGTGCACAGGACAATGTTTGAGCACACGCAATATCAAAGAGAGAGCAGAGCACACAGTATATCTGAGAAAACTGCACTCACGCATATGCTCTCATGTTAATGCGCTCTCCACATTAAAATGATGGCATGAATAAACAACTGTCTCTGCTTCAGATTTGATAACTCAAAGACAAAACTATAAATCCAAGTGAACTTCATACAGAGTGCTGAAACATAAGCTTAAGGAAATACTTGTTGGGGCAGCAATAGAACAGAATTTATTTCACAGTGTAGTTCAATGGGAGATTTTAAAACTGTAATCATAGATTTCTAAATAATTAAATAATCTGCAGAACAAACTCTGAATGGGGTCTGAACATTAAGCAGTTTGAGCTGAATTATCTGCAGAAGAACATAATTATGAGGAATAACTGCTAGTGAAGATCTATGATCATTATTATACTGACTTGAGCTACTCACCTTTGACAGTGACAAAAAATGTCTGGTCTGAAACCCCACTGCTGGATGTGATCTCTAGTTTATAGAGTCCAGAGTGTTCAGTTCTAGTGTTTCTGATGGTCAGAGATCCAGTCGTCTTGTCCAGCTCCAGTCTGTCTCTGAAACTCCCATCAGCAACTTCATCATATGTCAAGATCTCTCCATTCTGTCCAGTTAATTCAGCTATGACAGTCTGCTGCTCTTCATCTCCAAACAGCCACTGTATCTCATCTTCTGTCACTATTTTATTATTAGGCTTTAGAGTGACAGGATCTCCCTTCATCACTTCTATCTCCCTCTCTTCATGTGTGAGAACAGTGCATAGAAGGATAGAAATACACAGATGCCATTAGATCAAGTATGTGTGCATGTGAACATCAGAGTTTGACATTTATACACACTGATCATGCAGATGCTGTTTTATCAGTGATAATTTTTACATTGCTGTGTTAAAAAGTGTGTTGAAAATGAAATTCTGTATAAAAACAACAGCAACAAAAATAAATACATCTCTCACTGGCATCATCCTCTAGTGTTAGAGATGATCTGGTTTTGTGCACAGAAAATGCACCAGAAAACTAGCACAGCTCTTGAGTTCTGTCTCTTCAATAACACTTTGCATAAACTTTTATGCTGTAATTTCATTTTTGGGGGCTTTTGTCACTTTGTCACAGTAGGTGGTTATATGACAACATAGGCCATTTGAGTGATTTTTAAAACAAAGTTTATAATAACCAAAGACAGAAACACACTGAAGACTGAAATGATCTGAAGAAACTCTGAAGGGAGTCGAAACATTAAGCAGTTTGTGCTGAATTCACTTCAGAAAAAATGAATGAATGAGGAAGAATGTGATCATTATACACTGACTGGAGTGACTCACCTCTGACATACACAAATAATCTTTTGTAGAAGGTTTCTCTGCCTCTTCTGATAATCAGAGTGTAGAGTCCAGCGTGTGCATTTGTGATGTTTGTGATGGTCAGTGAGCCTGTCTCATTGTCCAGCTTCAGTCTGTCTTTGAATGTCCCACCATGATCATCACATGTAGTAAAGATCTCTCTGGTCTCTTCTTTGATTTCAGCTATCATATAATTCCCCATATATTTATCTCTAAACAGCCACTGTATCCCATCACTGGTCTGTGTTTCAGTAGCAGGCTTTAGAGTGACAGATTCTCCCTTCATCACTTTTATCTTCCTCTCTTCGTGTGTGAGAACAGTGCATAGAAAGACAGAAATACACAGATGCCATTAGATCAAGTGTGTGTGCATGTGAACAACAGAGTTTGACATTTCTACACACAGATCATGCAGATGCTGTTTTATCAGCGATAATCTTTACACTGCTGTGTGAAAAGTGTGCTGAAAATGAAATTCTGTATAAAAAATAAAAAATAAAAATTAAATACATCTCTCACTGACATTATCCTCTAGTGTTATAATCGGCACGTACTGCGCATGTCTACATACCGAACACATACTACGCATGCGCAAGACGTCACCGTTTTCAAAGATTTCCGTATTGGGTGTTTACACGGAAACGATAACGGTGGCTTTTTCAAAAACTTCAAAAGGGTCTGGCTGCAGCTTGGCGCTTGCACTCTCTTTTTTTTTAAATTTTTTTAAATTTTTTTTATTAAACATAGAATACAAGAACTCATAGAGGTAACAGCATAGAATAAAATCAAATACAATAACAATCAGCATCAAACCTTAAGGGGATCCACAATACATGTAAGGCAAAAAAACAAAAAAACAAAAAACAATTAAAACACAAGAAACTTGGACATGTCCGATGATATTTTCAGAATTGCATTCTCTTTTTTAAAATGAGCTACTTGGGATTGAAGCTCAGATATGTCTTTTTTGTTCTTGTCAATGGCTGATGAATTGGCCTTAATCTGCTTTTCGAAGCGTATAAATCGCTGAGTTTGGTCATCCATTTTTTGGGTTAGCGCCTGTACCGCCCGGAGGACAGCGTTCACCGTGTCTTCTTTGGCATGGTCATGTACCCTGTCTTCTTTGGCATGGTCGTCTTGTACCTTGCTTCTTTTAGTTTTTTTGTTTTTTATCGGTGTGTGGTCCCAGTTAACCTTATCTTCTTTGGACATGGCCTTGTCCTCAATGGTTTTAGCCTGGTCCACTTCAATCTCCTCAATCATGTCTTCATCGCAGGCTTCATGAAGAGCAATCAAGTTGTAGTCATGGTCCGACATCATTGTTAGGAAATAAAATAGGGCTATTACAGTCAAACTGGATCAATAACTTGGCTAATTTTAAGTTTTACTTCAGAGCCTGCTGAAAACACCACCTCTCACTCCGCCATTTTAGGACCTCCTCAAGAAGAAGGAGCTGGTCGTGGGAGAAGGGTGTTCCTGCACAACCGGAGGCTGCAGTTTTTCGGCGCTTGCACTCTCAGACGTGCATTCTCAGACACTTGCACTTCCGCTAGCGACGTCACTTGCAGCCTTTATTTTTTATTTTGTTCTATTTTTTATTACTTTTTGTTTGAATCTCTCAACTCGATTGCAAGTGACGTCGCAGGTATCGGAGAGTGCAAGTGACTTCGTAATTTAGTTTCTTTTTTCTTGTCTTCACCACCTGGCTATACTGTTGTAAAATGTTGAGAGATTCAAACAAAAAGTAATCAATAAATAGAACAAAATAAAAAATAAAAAAGACTGCAAGTGACGTCGCTAGCGGAAGTGCAAGTGTATGAGAATGCACGTCTGAGAGTGCAAGCGCCAAGCTGCAGCCAGACCCTTCTCAAAAACTTGCACTTTGAAACCCGTTTTTAAAAATATGCGTTTTCAGTCCCCAAAACGCCGTTGTCATGTAAACGGACAGTCAAAACACATAAAAAAGTTTCCAGTTTTTGGCTGAAAACGTTGTAGTGTAAATGGCACCTAAACATTAAGCAGTTTGAGCTGAATTCACTTCAGAAAAAATGAATGAGTAAGAATGTGATCATTATTACACTGACTGGAGTGACTCACCTCTGACAGAAACAGAGAATCTTTTGTATAAGGTTTTTCTGCCTCTTCTGATCTTCAGAGTATAAAGTCCAGTGTGTTCAGTTGTAGTGTTTGTGATGGTCAGTGATCCAGTCTCCTTCTTCAGCTCCAGTCTGTCTCTGAATATCCCATCAGGACCAACATATGTAGGCATCTCTCTGGTCTCTCCTTTGATTTTAACTATGAGAGTGTTTTCAGCTCCAAATAGCCATTTTATCTCATCGCCTGTCTGTATTTCATTATCAGGGTTTAGAATGACAGGATCTCCCTCCATCACATTTATATTCCTCTCTTCATGTGTGAGAACAGTGCATAGAAACATAGAAATACACAATGTCATTAAATAAAGTGTGTGTGCATGTGAACATCAGAGTTTGAAATTTCTACACACTGATCATGCAGATGCTGTTTTATTAGTGATGATCTTTACACTGCTGTGTGAAAATGAAAATGAAATTCTGTATAAAAACAATTAAATACAGCTCTCACTGACATTGTCCTCTAGTGTTAAAGATGAAATGGTTTTGTGCACATGAAATGCACCAGAAATCTAGCACAGGTCTTGAGTTCTGTCTATTCACTAAACACTGTGTAGAAAAGTTTATGCTGTAATTTCATTTTGGGGGGCTTTGTCCCTTTGTCACAGTAGATGGTTATATGTTATATAGGCCAATGGAGTGATTTTTTTAAACAAAGTTTATGACAACCAAAGACAGAAGCACACTGAAGACCGAAATGATCTGAGAAACTCGCAAAAGAGTCTAAAGAATAAGCAGTTTGTGCTGAATTCACTTCAGAAAAAATGAATGAATGTAGAAGAATGTGATCATTATTACACTGACTGAAGTGACTCACCTCTGACAGAAACAGAGAATCTTTTGTATAAGGTTTTTCTGCCTCTTCTGATCTTCAGAGTGAAGAGTCCATTGTGTTTAATTGCGATAACCTTGATGGTCAGTGATCCAGTCGTCTTGTCCAGCTTCAGTCGGTTCATGAATATCATATCAGGACCCCTATATGTAGTAATCTTTCTGGTCTCTCCTTTGATTTCAGCTATGAGAGTGTCTTCATCTCCAAACAGCCACTGTATCTCATCAGCTGTCTGTATTTTAGTATCAGGGTTTAGAGTGACAGGATCTCCCTCAGTCACCCGCACTGACAGCAGCACATAGAAACAGAGAAAAGAGGAGATTATTATTGGGTTTGCAAATGAACATGTCAGTATGAATTAAGGACTGAGAGGATACTGTGTGATTCTTCATATGTGCTTCTAATAAACACTTTTATTATCACGTTTACTAAAGATCTGTAACAATTTGCAATAATATTGCATGTGTTAACATGACTTAACTGGTTAATAAAACATTTACCACAAAAAAAAAAAGTTTTAGTGAAAGGAACAAACTTGTTTTTAAACTGTTCATTTGGGTAAATATTAATATACATCTTTTTCATCATCGTACAACTAAATATAACATTCTGTTATTTACTCGCCCTCATTCGTCTAATCAATGAGCAGATTTGGAAGAATCTTCATGCAGCTCTTTTCCATGAAATGATAACTTATAATGTCCTTCACAAAGTTGCCTCCACAAATAACATTAAAGACATCAGAAAATGTGTTCATGTGCTGTAAGTGTAAGTATTCTGAACTCAGACAACAGCTTTATGTGCAGTTTAAGTGTTTGTCTGCTGAAACTCTCTGCTGTAATTCTCAAATATTATTTTTCATACTCAAACACGTGTGTCGAGTTCACCTATGAAACATTCAGTGAACTAATTCCCACTGTCATGTTTGTAGCTCAAATAGCTTCTGTGTTGCATTTCAGAGCTTTAGTGAACAGGAAGATGATCAGTGAATAATTACTCATATTTCTATCTGTTCACACACAAACCATCACATGACCTGAGAAGACTTTGAATATAATAAACGAGTCACATGATACTTTTATGACGGATGATACTTAATAATACTTAAAATTGTTTGACAGACATGATCACTAAAAACGACTGTTGTACAGAAAAGAGCTCCATAATGTTTATCCAAATATCTTATTTTGTATTTGATAGAAAAAATAAAGTCATACACGCTTGCAATGACATAAAGGTGGATAAATTATGAATTTATATTTTAGAATAAACTATTCCTTCATAGGAATAAATAAACAACACTAACTGACCAGACACATTATAAACATGAGTGTCATTTACAGTAGATGTACAAACACTCTCTCCACTTCATTTTCTTGGTTTTCAGTTCAGAGTTTCTCTATTGATATTTACATTTCAGAGATCATTACAAATGAATTATTAAATGCTAAAACTGAATAAACTATGTGAAAACAGGGGGTGCTGCAGCCCCCTCAGCACCCCTACTTCCCGCGTCCCTGAACAATAATGAAGATTACACTAATTAAATATGTTAACATTGTCATAAGCCTGACAATACTCAGTATTTATATAGATGTAGATATATACACAAGTGTCAGTAATGTACGAGAGAAACAGTTTTAGCTAATACAATTATTCACAGACAGCTGATAAACAATCATTACAATCAGCCTTGAGTTACTCACCACTGACAGTTACAGTGAATTTCTTGTATGAAGTCTGTTTGTTGCTGCTGATCTTCGCTGTATAAAGTCCAGAGTCTGTGGTTCTGGTGTTTGTGATGGTCAGAGATCCAGTCTGATCATTCAGCTGCAGTCTGTCTCTAAATCTCCCATCAGTATCATATAATGGTGAGCTCTTGGCCTCTATATCAGCTTTAGCTATGAGTTTTCCTTCATCTCCAAACCTCCACACTATCAGCTCATCTCCTTGTAGTTGAGGAACATGAAGAGTGACAGGATCTCCCTCCTTCACTGACACGCTCTTCATTTCAGCTTCAGCCCCAGCAATAACAGATGGAGGCTCTACAAGAATCAGATTCACAGACAGATATTCAAATTTAAACACTGTTCCTGGCACTAAAATATGAAGTTTTACGGTCAGTTACATATTATGATTACTACACAAGGCATTTAGGAGCCATATATTAAGTTGTTTAGGGTATTAATCTAATTTAAGTACTGTATTTAATTTTCTTTAAATGCATTCCTTTATTTAACATATACATACATGCATATACATACATACATACATATATATATATATATATACATAGTATATTCTGTATATATATATATATATATATATATGTGTGTGTGTGTGTGTTGATTCAGTTTGCTCTCTATACAGGTTAAAGAGGGGCAAATGCACAGGTGCTCCATAAAGTTAATGAACAGCACAGACCAATAAGATTGATGGCAGGAAGCGGAAACCCTCATTGACGTGCTCACACACTCAAGGATGCAAACAAACTGATGGACTATATTTTCACACCTTATTTTGCCAGTTTTGCATGTGTTTTGTTGAAAATAGACTTCAGAAAGAAGCATTAACATTTAGTGATTACATGTGTTGATTGAGCATGAGTAAAACAAAGCTCCTGTCTGCCTTCACTGTAGTCAAAGCTTTGCCATAACAAGGCATATGTAGGTCAATAAATGTATTCCGTTTGAGATGAACAAGTTATTTTGATGAGTCGTCTTATTTCATGTAACAGCACAGGGACATTTCACTATATGAATCACTGCACTTGTCTGTGTTCAACAGTTAGAATTACTATTTGTAATTCTATACAACAATTGATCCTGCTTTGAATTATTTCAAACCAAATACCAGTAGAATTAAACTAAACATATCTGGCCATATGTTTGTAGTAACTTGTCTTCTGTGTTTGTGTTTGCTTTTGAGTTGATTTTCACTGTTTCTAGATCAGTTTCCTTTGTCTGTGTTTAATGTTTTATACGGTTTTGCACTGATTAATTGAGTTGTGTGACCTGTGTCTCATTTCAGTTATTGGATTGGTTGAGTATTTAAGCCCTGTGTTTCTGTTAGTTCTTGGTCTGCTCTCATTGCATTATACCCTATTTGTTCTTTTCTTGCACCATGAGTGTTTTTTGGCTCTTTGTTTAATAAAAACTTTGTACTGCTGCACTTATATCCTTTACCTAATCCCTGCTTCAACCGGTAAGTGACAATTGTGTGTAAAATATCACTCAATGTGAATTTATTTCTAAAACTGTAGTATTCAAGCAGTATCACACTCCACATCATGCTGTTGTGCTGAATATCAGTCATGTAATCACCTGGGGCCCAATCACAGTGATGATATTCAGAACAACAGCACAACTGCACAATATTGTGAAACTACAATTCTGTAATATTTCTAAATATAAATTTGCTGGCTGCACTTTAAATCTCAATTTAGTAAAGTTGAATAAAACAACAAGAAACTTCAAAACATCTTATTCAAAAATAATTATATCCTCACCATTGACAGTAACACTGAATTTCTGATCTGAGGTTCCAGCTTTGTGGTTGATTTCTGCTTGATAAAGTCCAGAGTGACTGGTTCTGACATTTGTGATGGTGAGAGATCCAGTCTGGTTCAGCTGCAGTCTGTCTCTAAATAACTCATAATCTTCATATAAGATATTATTTCCATCAATTTGAGCAATGGTTGAACCTTTATCTCCAAACCGCCACAGTATCTCAATAATTCCCTGTATTTGAGTAAGATCAGGGTTTAGAGTGACAGAATCCCCCTCCATCACTGACTTCACTTCATCTGTTTCAGCATCAAACACTCCTGCAGAACAAACAGAAACAGTTTCCTTCAGATTAAACTCAGTAACACTGCTGATAATGTTAGCAAACAAATAGGAACTGAGGTTAGTCTTGTCTAATATAAACACAAATTGACTTTTTAAAGGGTCGAACACAGCATGGATGGTGGGTGGGTATAGTGGGTAGGGATAAGTATATATATAAAAAAACATAGTACAGTCTAATTAGGGACTGTTTTACAGGGAGCACACTTGGATTGGATTGACAACTCTTGCATTCTGTAAGATAAACTGTAAGATAAGCACTCATCCATCAGGATCTTATTACTTCTTTCTTATTTTTACATGTTTACACATGCAAGTAGCTTGTATGTTTGTGTATTTGAGTGATTATTGTCATGTATGCAGGATTTTGCTTTCCTGTTTATGATTGTGATAATTATATAGAAACATTAAAACAGCAACGAATATTAAACTAATTAAACATGTTAACATTATCATTAAGCCTGACAATAATCAATATTTATTACAGATATATTGACAGGTGTCAGTAATGTAAGAGAGAAACAGTTTTAGCTTATTTCCCTTTTCTTCTTTACTGTGCAATATATACAGTTTTTGCTTTTTTTAATAACAAGAGTGGCTGAACTGAAATGATACCAGCCTCATTGATTATAAAGGCAGGGCTCTTTTCTCACTTTCTGTATATAACACATTCATAATTTAAATGAAAGTTTTATTTTTCATGCTGCTAAGTACGTTTCAAAAGTGACAACCATATTAAAATGTGGGACTGAATCTGAAATGTCAATGTTTGACAATGAGCAGGACAAAAATATATATATATATGATCTGTGCTTTAAAAGTCTTAAAATGTAAGTAAATGTAAGATTCTAATTTTTTTTAATAGAATGTTTATTTAACAGAACAATATTTGAAAGCTACACTGAAAAAAATGTTTCATTCATCCAATAAAAAAAAATTTAGGGTAATGATTCACATCTATATTTTTGAACTTCAGCCAATGAAAAATAAATAACTTGTCCTAAGAGCAAGTTATTTATTTTTCATGGGCTCAAGTTAAAAAATATAGATGTGAATCATTACCCTAAATGTTTTTAATTGGATGAATGAAACATTTTTTTCAGTGTACATGTTAATGTTTTAATGTATTATTTACTTATAATCATTTCAATTAGGGCTGCACAATATATTGCAATAAAATCTATATTGTGATATGGCTTAATGAGAGCTATTTTGATGTATAATGCATATTTAGTGTTTATAAGTGCAGTGCAGCTGTTTACAGTGGTAACCAAGGAAATGCTAATATCGCCGCTGTTCCATACGCGCCACCTGCTGTCACAGAGTGAATGTGCGCTCTCATTCAGCCTGTCTGCTGCTTCTTGTTTAATGCAGGAATGTTTTACAATCTAATTTAAATCAAAAACTTCCTACGCTACATGTATGTTTGGCTCAAAATTAATTTGCAGGGGTTGCCTTTAATTATAAATGGCTACATATAGTTTGGCCTGTAATAGAGCAATTAAATATCTTGTTCATGTACTCATATTTTCATTCTTTCTGGTCTCTTACTTAAAAATAAACAAATAAACAAAACAAAACAAACAAACAAACCAAAAACAATCAGTATAAGAATAGGCCTATTTGCATGTATATACAAATGGCAACTTAAATCGCAGATAAATCAAGATCAGTGCATCCCTAAATTTAAGACTGTCTGAAATTAAGGCATACATATTAGAAATGTAATTTTTTCTATGTAATAAAATTACTTTTATTCAGTACTCTTATTTTACAATACAATAGTAGGATGGCAATATTTTGTCTTATTGTTTAATATTTTTATTTAATAATCACAATAAAAAAGGTTCATATTTTATAGTCATATTAAGTGGGTCAAAAACAGTGGTAATGTAGCCTATGAAAACTCTGTTCACTTTATGGTTACTTAAAAAGATATTAGTTGGTTTTTGTAAAGAGTAAAGTCTGTTTTCTGTTAATAGATCTAGAATTTAAGGATGTGCTACTTTTACATTCATTCAGCAGACACTTTTATACAAAGCAACTTACACATGAGAAATGCAACATACAACAGCAAAAGAGATTCACCTGAAAGGTAAATTTATTCTATGACTTACAGAGGCCTATTAACATATTTTATTGTCATAATAGCAACACTATAAACTCAAGTTGAATTATTTCACTCAATTAGCCTATAGGTTTTAATGAAATAAAAGGAGTCTGAAATGCACATCTAACTAGGGATGTCAACGATTAATCGATGACCGATTAATTGTCGATAAGAGATGCAATCGATTAAAGTTATCGTTGGTTGATTAAGCAGTTTAATTTTGGGCTGCGTGCGGCTCATGCGCAAAACACGTGCGAGCGGCTGTGAGTGACGGTGACGGTATATAAATGCATCATCATTCATTCATAATTACAAACATTCACACCTCCAGCAACCCCCCTCTCCCCCACACCTGCAATTCAGATCAGCGAAGACAAGGTGCGCCAGGTCTTCTGGAAGCAGAAAAGGAGAAAAGCACCAGGGTCGAATGAATTCTTAATTCATGGCCATGAAATCTTTCATTTCCCTTAGAGCGAAAACAGTGATACAAAGTGAATGACAATAAAATAAACTTTGCGAAATTAGAGGGTTAGACATTGAGGATTTAGGAAAAGAAACAATGCCTAAATATTATTGAATTTGTGGAAATTCATGACCAACCGGCAAACTAGAA